CTCCAACAGATCCCAGGAGCAACATCTGAGATCTCTGTCCAGAAGAGTGCAGTCCTAGGAACAGCTAAGATACTGCGCAGGGCCCTCAAGCTCCCAGGCCTCTGGTAGAGGACCTGAGTTTGAAGGAAGGAAGGAAAGACCGCCCCAAAGTGGGGGGCGAATGGGGATTTTCTTTTTTTTTTTATATATATGTGTTTGTGATGAGAGAGAAACTCCAAGGAATATTAAGCTGACACCTGATCCAGCTGTCAGGCTAATGAAACATGGATGTACTAAGGAGAAAAATGGAGGAAAGGACATTTAAAATCTCTTAATTTTTCTAACGGGTGCAATTATTTTGTTCTGGCATCATGATGAACAGAATGAGTGGCATCGCTCCTGCACAGTGGAAACTAAAAATAAATGTAGAATGGCTTACAGAGTAACATCTGCATTTACACACATTTATCAACTAAAAATAAACACCTGTATACAGACAATAATATTTCAGTACTGCTGATTTAGCATACATGATATTTCCTATAGCAGAGAAAATAACAGCCTCTGACTTTTCTCACTTTCTCACATAGAGCCAAACATTACATACCACAATTGGGTAGGCAATTTCATATGACGTGCTGCTAGCTTGATTGACACACACGCAAAGCTATAAAATAGTGCGCAGATGTAGCAAACCTAGACAACAGAAGTTCACCAACCATTCATACAAATATTGATGTTATCACGAAGCGTTAGAGTAAATAACATTAAATTCTACAACATAGTATATCAACTTACACGCTCCTGACTTCAATAAGATCACTGTTCTCCTTAATAGGCTACATCCATGAAACACAGACCTACGTCAGTGGCTGAACATGAACAGATGAATGACTTAGTGACCATTTACTGAGATCACTCATCAGATCTGACAGACTTGAGAAGACAGAGTTACAAGCTCCCTCACATCTGGTGAGGGCACACTGGCCACTGTGGCCGTGTAAATAAAACAAAAACAGGGGGCATCGTGGACAGATGCGAGGGCAACAACAGTCATGCCTGAAATTTATACCCCAGCTGCTACACTATACTGTACCTATTGTAGATGTACAATTTTCAAACTAACACTACTTACTTCTTTTCATGAGTCCATTTCTCATTTCATTGTGTTTTGCATGCCCATTTTGAGCAAGTCTCAATGACAGTGATGCACCCCTCCTGAAATGAACACAACATTAGAAATTGTAGAGTTCAAATATTGCATGGTTACTGGCCTCAAAACCGTGTAAACACTACCAGTCTGATGTCTGGACACGCTTTCCCATCCAAACCTTTTAATTGGTGGTAAAATAAAACATTAGGGCACACTCACAGCAAGAAACAACATTAGATGTGTTGTTAAAACTTTGTGACTATCAGTTTTCAACCATCTACAATTCTGTTGATACTAACAGTACAATTCACAGTTAACTGATTGTTTCATACTGAAGTACCTCATAGCTCCGAGCTTTCCCTTCTCCAAGAACAGCTCAACTGTAACTTTGGGCCCCTGTGGGTAAAGTCTGGCATAGAGCATCCTGTTGTGCACCATATCTTTGAACCACCCGACTGCTTCCTCAGACCAATTGCTCCCATTCACAGGCGTCACCTGGGGAGAAGGAAACAGACACGAAATACCATGAACTGAGATAACTCATTTCCTTTATCACAGAGCAACAGATAAGGCTGTGACTAATCATGTGGACAAATGCCAACAACTGAGTCTACACTCTCAGTAGACCCCAGTATATTGGCCATTTCCACGGATTCACATCCTGGGAGGGATAATCAGCACGCCTGTTGCTGAAAATCTTAACGCGCTCATCAGTGAGAGCTTTATGTGCTGGTCTACATAAAGTATACAGCATAAATTAGTACACCCAATCTGAACATAAAGACATTTATATTTCTTAAAAAAAACAAAACACGAATTACAACTAATGGAAAGATGACAGCAGGCATTTATTAAACAAGCTTAATAACATAGGAAGATTTGTCAACAATAACTATAAAATAAATCATGCAACTATGCTCAGGTCACGGATCGCAAAAAGGAATACAACCCTGATTAATTTATTTAAAAAAGAAGCTATATTCTAGTACTAAGTACGTCTTCCTTTATTGTTAAGTACAGCACTGAGTATTCTTGGTATCAAGTGTCACAACGTAGTCAGATCTGCTGTTCCGCTCCTGATCCTGCCTTGATGTTTAACGGGAAGTGCTTCTCAACGTCTCTTCAAAATTCTCCACATGTGCTTGTGACATACTTGGCCACTTCAGCACTTGAACCTTGTTCTTCCTTAAGAATACAGTGTGTCTGTGAATTCATGATGCTATTAATAAAGTACAAGTCACCCACAGCATTAGCACTCACACATCCTCATGTTAGAACTCCGGCCCTGCCCTTATTTACAAAGGGACCATGCACTTCTCACTGTAATCCTCGCCCTTGTGACGACATGCATATTGGATGCCATCAGATGCAAAAAGACTAGAATCATCAAACCACAGTATGGATCCCCAAAGTCTACCTTTTTCACTATGTGCCTTGGCAATGTCTAAACAGGCTTTCTTGTGCTTTAAGTGCATGAACGACAACCATGTATTCCACTTCCATCCAGGATATGTATTATTGTGTGAGATGAAACAGTCCCTCCAGTTTCCACAGTCTTGGCCAACCCTGAAGCACTTGCTTTACAATTCTCTTGCACTCTTCTCAGCATAAAATCATTAATCACAAGTGAAAGCTTATGGGAAATGGTCCAGACTTTTTGAATTTCTATGCCATTTTATTAAAGTTTGAGTGTGATGGTTCATCTGATTCATCTGCAGATCAACTGCAGTGAACTCACACCAAAACAGAAATGAGTTTTATTTTGTAAGTAGTGGGCACTCATTTTTGAACATTGGCTTTTTATCATTTTGACAAAAACATAATGTTGTTTAATATTGACATGTCATTGGTAAATGATAAAAACAGTTCATCATTAAGAAACCGATATTAATAAGAGTTCAATTTCTTAGGTTTGAGTTAGGGTGTACTCATTTATGCTGAATACTGTACATGTTGAAAATGATGAAACAAAAAGTTTTACAATATCATCAGGAAACCACTTACACTTGCCAGCGAGACCTGCAAAGCTTGAAGAGGAAGGGCGGCCACGTCTGGGGTCAGCTCCTTGATATATGACAGCGACAGGCAGGCAGTATCACCATAGTCCAGCCTCTTCACTTCCACCTTGATAGATGCCTCACTCTCAGCATCATTAGCTTACATCCAAAACACAGAGAATAGCAAGTTAAACAACAACAACAAAAAAATTAAGTATGAAATTCCCAAGTGGCTACAGGCAAGCAAAGTGACACTACTACCATCTAGAGGTATGCATTTACAAAAGCATCCCTAGACACAAAATTGGACCCACCTCTACTTACTCCACATATCTTCGTCACCTGAGCCCTGCACCATTGTTCTTGCTTCGGGAACCAACCCAATACTTGGGTTCCAATGTCTGGAATACAGTTCTGCAAGGCATTGGAACTGCTGGCTTTCCAGCTGCTGCAAATGGAAAAAAAAAAAGTGGATTATTAAAAACATAAAAATTTAAAAAGAAAGCCGTAATAAACAAAAACTAGGTGGCTCTCTAAATCCTGTAAATGTGATCAAGAAATCAGTGAGGGCTGAGAGAAGCTGAGAAAAAGCAGACAATAAATTAGGCACCATGCCGAACAACTTACTCTGTGTCGAGGGCCTGCAGCTTCGCAATGCAGTCTGCGTGCTGAATGTAGAAGTTGCCTGGGCTGACAATATAAGATACCACAACTTCAGTCTCATCAAACCTCTGGCTCTGGAACTCAGGAATGGCAATACCGTTCATCATTGGTGTTTTTGCGCCAGCAGAACTGTTCTGTTTTTCAGGATCTGTGCTTTGAAGAGACTGGGTTTTCTGCTGACCATTCACACAGGAGTTCTCCATCTGAGCCATTATATTTCTGCAGTCCTTTTTTTTCAAGATGCCGTCATCAGAGTCCCCCTGTCTGACTTCAGTGATGATGTCTCCAATATCCCACAGTTCAGTCTTTGTTGCAATCACACAAGTGTAGGTCATAGAGCCACTTGGTTCCACTCGTTTTACTCTGAAGACTGGGGCTTGACTGTCACTGTCTGCACACCGCATTTTTGGATCTAGAGCTGTGATCAGCTCATCGGTAGTGGTATCTCTGAATTCGTAACCTTGTGTTTGGGTAGTTGGTGACGTTGGCTGTGGTGAACCTGAAGTGTCTCCATTTCTTCTCCACTCTATGACAGTGATCTCCAGTGCACCCATGTTTTTAGCTTTGGCTCTGAGGAAGTGCAGCAGATGAGAGGATGTTTGTTTTTGGTACTGGACATCATCCTCCCATCCCCAACTAATTATTGGTGTTATTTCCATGGGTTTTGGGTTACTGATCTCTGGTAATAGAGCTTGTATGGGAGGTAACAGTGATGGTGGCCTCTCTGTATTAACCTTGGGACTTTCAGTAATGGCAGGTGGCAGAATCACAACTTCTGGCTGGCATTTCTCTTCAAAAATAACAGCTTGTTCTTTTTCTTCAGCCTTTAAATGACAGGACAAGCTCATAGTCTGAACGGCACTGTTGCAGCTGGATGAGACGCTGCAAACAATGTCATCCTCCTGGACTGCTGTAGGATGGGAGATGAGAAAATGTTTCACCTGCTGAAGGGACAGTGTGGCTCCAAGCACCTGGACTGCTTTTGTTATGGAGTTTGCCATGAACATGCTCTGCACCATGGGCCCAAACTTGAGAACATCTGTCATCAGGATTCCTTTGTCTCTGAGTGGCTGCAGCTGCTTTGTTCTCTTTTCATTTATGACAGTAGGCTGGTCACAATCTTGTGGCACTATAAAGATGAGAAAAGCAGCATGAGAGAATGTTTTTTAAACAAAGTTACACTAAAAGCTTTTTCCTAAATCATGTACTGGACACCTGTGTAATGCTGCAGGTGGTTAAGGCATCAATAATTTTAGTAAATCAGCAATGTCAGATTAGCAGCTAAACTCTATTATTGTATGCTTAAGACTTACCAATGGTGAGGTCCTTTAATAAAGCTGAGAGCTTGTCGATAGTTTGACATTTCACATCCAGAGCATTTGCAAGATCGCTGAACACAGCGGTGGGAACAGACGAGTTAAAGAACCCTTGGACTTCTTCATAGGCCTTGGCAGAGGAACATGACAATAACACATTAACATTAGCACCTAAAGAAAAGACGCATTTGAATTACAGAAGAAGGGGAGCCTGGAGATAAACAAGTCATTAATTTTAGTTAATAATGTTAAAAAATGTTATAAAACAAAAATTATGATGTACCTGATTTTAAGTAACATGGTTATGTAGGCTTTATTTTGATGCTAATTAGCCTATAGAATATAGCAATGGGTTGTGTAATGTAGGCTGCTACTAATGGGTCTTAAATGCATTAGCATTTGTGTTCCATTCATGTAGCTAAACATGAAATGTAAACAGCCAAGTATTACACCAATCAGTCACAATGTTAAAAACACCAGGGAGTTTCAATGTTGTGCTGGACAGGGATCAGCAGAAACACTCTGAACGATCTACGGCTACACAGCCTTATGCAGCCAGCTGTGTGTCGATCATGGCCAGCATTACATTTCTCCCATGGTGGCCCTGTTCACCATAACATTAAAATCACCATGCAGATTTAATGCTGTGACTGATCAGTGTATATTAAATGCAATAAGCTAAACTAAGCTGTATAGGTGTGCTCAGGATCACTGATGACACATGCAAGCTAATGGGGATGGTGCAGAGTACATAGCATAAGAGTAAATGCGTTGAGGACTGTTTAGACAATCTCTACTTTTAACCTTCAGCATTAGCAGTCATATTTGTACTGGCTGTTTACATTAGCATGGTATGTTTTATGAACATATATACAGTATTTTAAATAATAAAAAAACCAGCTCCAACAAAAACTAAACACTATGACATTCAATGCAGCAAGATTTATTGCAGGACTGGTATCAGGCATAATTCTTTTATATTAGTGTACTTGTAATATCTGTATAGTGTTTTATTTAGCAAGAACTGATGATGCAGATGCAAGAATCCACATATTGCAGTATGCTAGAAGCACAAGTGGACAGACAGGCTGCTTTAAAATAATATGAATGCTCAAGACAAGGGGCCTTAGGAGCTATGATCCCATTATCAAATAGCTGGGCTGTGCTTACTCTAATGGTCCTGAATGTAAATTCTGCAGCCATTTAATGTCATAATTAGGTCAGGTGGCCTGACCTAATTACTTCTCTGCCCCTAATGTACCAACACCAAATATACAAGCAGCAACATCACTGATGGAATAGTGGAGATTTTAAACACCGGATGTTTATTAAATGTGTAAATTAATACACTGCTTTTATGTTGCATTTCATGTAATAAACAAAAGAGTGTCCTGTTCATTAAATAAAATAAACTTTAGCGTGTTAATTCCATTATGAACTCCTAAAATGTACTGCCTGTAAAAAGTGTCTGAGCCACATGAAGGCAGTGTTTTTTTTTTTTTTTGTTTGTCTGGTTTTTTTTTATAACTGCACATCGTGTATCCTTGAGTTTTAGATTACTGTTAGATAAATTGTTTAAACACATGGTCTGGACTGGCCGGCAGCTAACAAAAATCACATGCAATTTAAAAAAAGGTGCTTTGTTTCATTAAAATGCTGAAATTTCAGTACAGATAACCAAATAACCTGAAATGTGAATGTTAGACTGGTGTTAACTATACCTCGACAGTGAAGTAGCGAAGCTCTTGTTCAAATTTATTCCGGGCATTTTCCAACACGAACAGTTTGTAAATTAACTGCACTTTCTGGGTGATGAAGGGCTGGACATGCTGCTGCTGAGAAGTCATGCTCGACTATGGGTTATTTCTGTCCTTAGCGGTGGTGGCGTTAATATGCAAATTGGCTAAGTGTAGATTCGCTGTGGCGACCCCTAACGGGAAAAAGGCGAAAGTGACATTCATTTATAGTTAGCTTAGCTAAAAGTCGGCGTTATCCACTGGCGGGTTCTCGACATTCTTGGCCCGGGGAATAATGCATCAACTCTTTCTGTTCCTCTTCCTCGCCGGTTTCTTCTTCCAATCGCGTCTGTGACTGAAAAGCGTCGAACTCTGTTCCCCTGTTGAAAATCATGGATGTTAACAACAGCCAATAACCGCCATATTGGAAAAAAAAGTTCTACTTCTTCTTCTTCCGTTTTTTTTTTGGCGGTTGGATTTTGAAAATCTATTAAGTTTGCTGGACAACTACTTCATTCCAAGGAAGGCGCGGCCGCCATTAATATTAACAAGTGCCCCGCTCTTTCTTCAGTTTATGTTTCAGTTGTGGACTTTTTCAAATATTTTTATGCAGTTTGACACATTCTGAACACAGTGGAGACTAAAACGTCCTCACTACAGATTGACCCTGGTGGGTTTTTCGTGGTTTTCATTGGCTCCCTTTTCTGTTCCCAACTATTTTCAATGGAAAGTAGCTAAACCTTATAGGAAAAAGAAGGATCCAGGTGCGAAATGCAGACGAACTGAGGTTACACCCCCCACATTAAGTCATTCAAGTTATGGACCAATCGAGGACAGAGACGTCGCACTGACAAGCACTTTTCGGTGCCATCGGAAAGTAATGCAGACCATTATATTCAATTATCTGCACATTTGCAAAGCCAATCTTCCTGAGTTACAGATTAAACATTCCTGATGGTTTATAAGCCTGCTTAGTTGCTAATGATGGTTCTAAAAAAATGTGGAAAAAAAATCATCTGAACTTGATTTTTTCTACATTTTTTCTGGTTTATACGACCCGGATCACTGAGAATTTGTATGGATAGGATATTAATGATGGATTCTAGAGCAACCTTTTGAGGTGGTACAGACTAGGGGCCCAAAATAAGTGCAACTGTGTGTGAATATTTCTTATTGAAATGTAAGCCTGCATTAAGATGAGTAAAAACAACTTTAATTTGATGCCTCAGTAGTTTTGTTTTATGGTTTCCTGTAATACCTTGTAGTGCCCTATGGCAAAATCAGGGCCCATAGGACTACAAGCGAATTGCATATGACCTTTAAGTAAGACTTTCTTGTTTCTGCTGCTGAGAAAAAAAATAGAAGAAAATTCATGTTATTACTAATTTTAGTCTGAGCCTTCTTCAGCTCCACTGTGACAAAGAATGCTAGGCTACAGGAAGTCTTTCCTACTGACTGACATCATACTGTATGATTCTGTGGGGAGAGGGATCTCCTCCTCCTCCTCCTCCTCTTCTGACAACATGTTTATAATACATATGTCCATGTACATTTATTCTTGTTAATTTCAAACATGTTCATATCTGTGGAAAATGCACCTCACTGTACATCTGTCCATATTGTCCATTCACCTGATCTCACTAATATAGGCCTACAATGTATAATAATATAAAATATAAATATACACATTTTTCTGTTAATTTGGCCACTTGAACAGTTTCATTTCCCTGGGAAATGATAAATCTATCTATCTATCTATCTATCGGGTATCTATCGCCAGCGCTTGTACTACATTTGAGGAACAAGATACTCATTCATGTAAGCAGCAGTTTTATCTTACATCTCCGGTTTAATAGAACTAAGAATCTGTTACCCTAGAAAGGAAGACTGACAGTGTTGCAAGCTTACAATACTGTTCTAATGTGCTAACAAAGAAGCTGTTGCTTATGTCTAAATGCCAGCTATTATCCATCAAGCAAAAGAATGAATACCATTTGCTACCTACATTCCTATGGTTTTACACCTGATACTTTGCACACCATGTTCTTCTTCTTTTTTGCTCTTTGCTGGAACATGTCAAGCTGCTACTTGATCTAGTCTAGTTGTGGGTGGGGCAACAAAGACATTTCCTACAGTTTATTGCTCAAGAGCCAGATTGACAGGCATCCTGGCTGTTTTAACACTAATTCTGGCATCACAGACCTGGTTCTACCCAGTGGACAAAGTAGTAGTAGGCAAAGGAATTGCAAAATGGCATGTTGCATCAATTTAAAGGCCCATGAGTCAGTAATCACACAATAAGAGGATATCCTGTAGCAGCAGTTTCTCCCTGGCGTACCCAAAGCTACTTGCTCAGACTGAATTAGGAATTCTTGATATCTCTTCATCTGAGTTACATTTATACTGCAACATTACATGAGCCTTTTAAACATCTGTCACCAGACAGTCACTGTACCTTTTTTTCCTGAGAGTGGGATAAAATTCAAAGTTTATTCATGTGTTTTGAGTTTAACCTCATTTTAATGAATACTGTATGTGTTACATGCAGGGTTCTTATTTTCTTAAAGTGGTTTGAGTGAAAATGCACAAACACTGAATGATCATATCCTTTCCGCTCAATATGTTACGATTCGGTGGATTTCAAGTTGCTCAAGTAGAAATGGAAATTTACCGAAACTGAAATTCTCCCTTTCAAAACCTCAGTGATTTGTTTTACAAGTATAGACATTTATTTTTTAAAATGAAGACTTGCAACATATTCGGGTCATTAGGTAAAGTGTGTTTACTATGTACAGCATTTTTGGTGTCACTCTTACCACTATACAACACAGTGTCCCAGGGTCAGAGCCACATAATTGTACATTACAAAACACAATTCAAATATAGTCAAATGGATCTTGTATATACACACTGTGACAGAAGCTATATTTATTTAAAAATATATACATATACATAAGAAAACTCCTACAAGGTTTCTCACTGGTGTTGTATTGAATTTTTAAGAATGTCAGTTCTGATTGTGGGAATGTTGGATGAGGCTTCATGGTTGTCAGAGAAATTTGAGCTATAGAGTTAAACTTTTAGTTGCCAACAAACATTTCAAAATGAAGACTGGGCTAAAAGTGCTTTCCACAAATTGGTACACACTAACCTAACAGCTTGGGTGATGATAAAGCCATTCCAATTGCAACATCTTAAAATGGGTCACACAGCATTGTGCATGTCCCACAGACTAGCCAGTAATGTGGTGTGGAGTCTCAGTCATAACAGACAACTTTAACAGAGAGAGAATAGATTTGTGTGTCCACTGGCAAAGTCTGTGAATTTTAATTGAAAGTTTGTTACTTTAGTTTTTTAAAGCCTAAGCAGCCATCACTCCCACTTCTCTAAATGGGTCGTGTAACATAAAGCACAGGAATTACGCTTGAGTTGCTGTAGTTTGCTCTGCTGTTTCTCACTGCCTGTATTTGGTCTGTATATTTTAAGTTACCCACACGCATACACAGCATGTAGCGTTGTACAAAACAAGCCACTGACAGCAAGTTTTAGACATCACACTATAAATGATCTCTGTGTGCAACAAAATTTCCTGGTAAATAAGATGAAAATTGTTAATATAACAAAAGCAAATAAAACAGCAATGAACATTTGTCCAAAGTGAATTTCCTGAGTGTTTGTATGTATCAAACAATACAACCAAGGGTTTTTCAGATACTCTGCCATTACAACATTGCTAACACTTGTAAAGCATTCAGTGTTATTGATGTCAGGCAGTTTAATCCTGAACTCATTCAGGATTGTCAGCCATTTACTGTCACAACAATTAAAATGATTCCCACTAATATACATAACATTGAGGTGTACAGATAAATCATGAATCAAGGAATGGTTTAAAGTCATGAAAACATTATTTCTTATGTCGATTTCTCTTAGAGGAGAGCAGCTTAAACTGCTGGGTATAACATCTAGACTGTTATTTGATAGCTTCAGCTCAGTTAACACTGGCAAACAGGGCAAAGACAGATCAGAGCTAGTCATGTTTCTTTCACTGATAATCAAGGACTGAAGAGTAGTTTGTACACCTTCTAGTGCATCCTCGTGCATTACCATATGTGAATTTCTTGCAAGATTCAAGGAAACCAAAGAGGTTCCCTGAAATGTATTTGGGCGAAGCATTTTTATGTTGTTTTCTTTAAGATTGAGGTGTTTAAGAGTTCTTAATTGCCCAAAGGCAACACAGGATGTGTTGAAATTTATTTGCTGTGTTGAATAAGAGCTTCTAAAAAGCTCCACGGAGGCACAGGGTTGCACTGAATTGTCTTGTAAATTTAATGTTTCTATTTGTGAGAGTGCACCGAGAAAGTGCAGGGAAATATATACAAGTCCATTGCTTTGCAAGTCGAGGTGCTTTAAGGAGGGAAAGAAGAGCTGCGGACGGTATCCTGAATCACTGTAATTTCTGATAGTCCAGGTGATGTTTTGCAGACAGTTGTAACTGAAATTCATGGTTTCTAAAGATGAGAGAAGGCTTAAAGTCTCCCCTGGGAATGATCTAAAGTGGTTATAGCTGAGGTCAATATAAATCAGCGGCATTAGCCTCCAGTTTGAATGTAGGATATTTTTTTGATCTATTTTCTCATTTATAATCTCGTTGTAAAGAGAATTAGTCTCTGATATCATTATATCCTCTGAATTTAAGGTACCAATCATGTTATTCTGTAAATAAAGATACCTCAAATGGTTCATCTTTGGAACAATTGGGAAATAAAGGAGTTTGTTGAAACTCAAATCCAGAATTTCAAGCCTGTACAACTGGTCATCCTCCTGAGTAATAAAGAACTCTACTGAGTTTCTGCTGAGATTCAAATACTTAAGTTTGTGTAATTTAAAATCACAGATATATACAAGGTTATTTTTAGCCAAATTTAGAATCTCTAACTGACTCAGCGGTTCAAATGTCCCCTGTTCTATCACTGATATCAGATTATCATCAATATTAATGGCCCTCAGGCCTTTACTCTCATTGAATAGGCTGTGTGAGAGTCTTCTTAAAGCATTACCACTCATCTTAAGCTGAGCAAGAGAGGATTTGTTGCGAAGGTATAGCTCCACTGCATCATCACTCAGACTGTTCATTGATATGTCCAAACTCTTCAGCGTACTGATGGACTGGAGAGCTTTGGTGTTATTGCCAAGGTTGTTGTTCAGAGCATTTCTGGACAAATTCAACTCTTCAAGTCGAGCCAGGTTTTCAAAAGCCCCCTCGGCGATTAGATCCAACTGGTTGGTGCTCAGGTCCAGCTGCTCCAAGTATGGCAAAACAAGTGTGTGCAACTGTCTGATGAAGTTATTAGACAGGTCTAGTCTTCTAAGTCTTACATCCAAACCCACAGGGATCGAATAGAGGTTCTGGTTGTTCCAGGACTGCTCCTTGAAATGAAAGAAACATTAATCATACTCAAATACTGAACCATGGAAACCAAAGATTAATAACCTTAGGAAATTTTTAGGATCTCCAAACCAGTAAGAGCTCAACTGTCAGCTAAAGGCTGAACACACACTTTTCATTTAACATGTTTGCCTACCTTTGAAGCATCATATGTGAGTCCAGTTATATGAAGGTCATGGCTGAGTAACCAGAGTAGTAGGAGGTTAGAGAACATATGGCTGACCATTCTCCCTCTGCTGTGGCTTTTGCTGCTGCTATCAAACTGTGCCGTATCACTACTATTGTCAGTTCTCATATGCACACTCACACACACCCTCTTATAGCCATGCTTCATAACAAAAAGGGGGAGAGGGAAAACAGCTGTGGACACCAGATAGGCACTGTGGATGCTATATTTAGACTTGACCACTGATACATCACTTTCTATTAAGCTTTATAAAACTTAAAGACTCTTGTAGTTCAGGTAAAACAGGATTTCAGACAAATGTTTTCTGTATTTAATATAACTGTTTATCTACACAAATCCATTTAAATTTAGTTATGAACTGAAATAACAGTGAATTTGCACTAAAGTCCAATTAAAAAGTCCATTATCTCATTTATTAAAACTTTCATATTATCATGATATATTAAAACAATTACAATATTGAGGAGTTGCATGCAAAGAAAACACATCCTGAGTGACATAAATTTATACCCTTGTTTGTTCCTGACATAGTCTTAGGAAAACGGAAACCATTCTAAAATAGACAAGAGGAACAAATAAACAGACAGCACAGAGGTGGAGCTGGAAGGAAGCCCCCAGCAAGGTAGAAAGAGATGTGCAAAAATAGACTGTTGAAAGGAGGTGGTAGCAAACATAGCCAATGCTACAGAACGGGCCCAGGTGGAAAGATATACTTTAATGCTTTAGAGCTAAAAGATTTTAAAAATAGCTGTCTTTAACAAATTGAAAGATGAGATGGGTAGTTTGTCTTTAAAGAACTGTGCACCAACAGCTATCCTGCTGCTGTCACTGGGTCCTTTATCAGCATCCTCTCACACAGCTCAGCATCAGGTTTCCATTTCCTGCAACAATTAGCTGCAGAGGTATTGTCTTCATACTGTGTTATTTCACTTTAGCTGTAGGATACCAAAAAAGGTCGAGTCTGCATCCATAGAGATCAGGGCATGGGGCCTGTCTGGGATAACCAATTCCAGCTCATCATCCTGATGCAGTTGCACAGTGTCTGTAACAGAAGATGCACAGTGTTCACATAGAAGGCAATAGAAGAGGTACAGTATAAGATGGGTGTCAAATAAAAAAAAACAAACAAACTTAACAAAAGACATCTTATCAAGGGGTTTTCAGACAAACTTAAAAGACATCTTATCAAGGGGTTTTCAGAGCTTTGGGTGGTTCTTGGCACAAACTCTACAAGTCTCTGGAACTTAAAGGTGCATTAATAAGACTTTACACATTGTTTGATAAATCAAGTGAAAATGGGACAGGATCTGCTGTTCTACCCTCGCCATGACAGTCTGCTGCCTACAGTGCCTCTGTTATTCCAGCATCTCTACCCTGTGATTTCAAAATATGCTCCGTAAATTAGCTTGTTTTTAAAATGTAGTTGCTTATCTGGGCTTGTTCTCCTGCCTCACTCCACTAAACCTATCTAATAAGGCAAAATTGACTATTTGTCCTGTGGCAGAATCCGTCTACAACCCCATTCTCTCCGGCCCAGTTTGGGGCTTTTTATTTTTTATTTTTTAGAGCCAAGTCACTTCTTCTGGGCTTGTTTCCATAGATCTGGTTGCTTGTGTCTCCCATGAGATCTAGCAACAATGTCAGTTTTTTCTGAGTTTCACTAGACCTAGCAGCTGAAAAGAAATTGGGTAGAATAGCTTTAAGGGATTAACATCATTCTTGCAAAACATATTTTGCTATTTGGTATTCTGAAAAAAAGAAAGATAGGTCAGGCGAGATAAATAATTTGCTCACCGGTAGATAAGTAGCATGATAACACTCTCAGCCTACACTAATGATGAAGGTACAGCCAGCAGTTGGTTAGCTTAGCTTGGCATAAAAACTATTAACGAGGAAAACAGCCAGCCTGGCTCTGTCATGCCATGTTTCCTGTCTCTAGTCTTTGTGCTTTGCAAAGCTAACCCGTTGCTGGCTGTAACTTAATATTTACTGTACAGCCACGAGAGTGGTATCAATTATCTCCTCTAACTTTCAGCAAGAAAGCAAATTAGTATATCAAAATCTTCAAGTAGTCCTTTAAGAGGCCACAATGCAGGCCCATAGTGCTACTGACCTGAAGTGTAGCATGTATTGGCAGGATAGTCACGAGGCATCTCCTGCAGGCAGCACAAGAGGTCTTTTGATTTCGTCCCTGTCCTAGTGGAGACCCAACTTCGAATAATATAACCCATAAGTGTGTTTGGGCTTTTGAACAAAACCTGTGAATTGAGAGGAACCTTAGCTGAAAAGATGGCACAAGTCAGTAATGTTAACTTAGTTATGCTTGAGTTACGATGACACAATACTTGTCCAAACACCAAGTAATAACCATCCTCTTGGACAACAATTCTGTTTTCCTTTTGTGAAATTGCATTTCCTTGCTGCACAGAAACAGTCCATGGGATCACTGTTATATTTCCTATGGGAACAGGCAAGATACACTTAGAATAATAGCAGACGTTGCACTGCTCAAGCCAAAGACTGAATTTAGTTTTACCTCTTATGTCTGGTTGTCTGTTAGTGTTAGCAGTTAACTGTAGGAATGATGCTGGAGCTAGCAAGAGGGAAAATAAACAATTAAATTTTTATTATGTTAACATATACTGTTTAGGGTCTCGCTACCATTGTAGGCCACAACTAATGACACATTTTAAGTTCTCGGCACCAACCCACCTCTACAGCTGCCTAGTTCCCGTTTTACTCTGCTAGCAGACAGCTTCAGTAAAGTCTGAGCTTCTTGTAAAGAACTTCGCTTTATGTCCTAAGAGAAAACAAAGCATTAAGAGAAAATTTATTATTGCAGTGCTGTCTGAGTCACTAAAGGTATAAATCTAACTAACACAATGTCCAAGATGACTCCATCCTGTGTAATCAGTGACATACCTCCCTTGTTTTAGATGACCCATCGACTCCCTCAGAATGTGGCTGATTTAATTGTAGAATTATGTCCCTTTGGAGTTTGCGAAAATCATTTTCTAAAACAGTGGCTCTGTGCACCAGGAAAAGACTAAGACAAAACATAAATGCTGTTATTGATAATAAAGCCCTGTAAATCATACTGAGACTTGACAGACCTGGGTGTCCTTAAGGTACTCAAACAGGAGAATTCACACACCAGTTAACCCCGGAAACCTAAATATTCAGTTTCAAAATGAGGAACTATCTTGTCTGTGCCTCTGTTGTGAAACTTGCAAAGCAAAAGCTGCTATGTGTTCATAAAGACCAAGGCCTTGCTCAACGAACATGGTCAATATGAAAAAGAAGTTTTAACTTTTAAAATCGATACCACTGGCTGCACAAACAAGACAAATGCATTTAGACAGAAAATGAAACATTTTAATCCATCAATCAACTCCATTTACAAAAGTATATCCCATTTTATATACAATATGTACAGAGACATATAAACAACTATCATTTTCCCATATGGATTCATTCATACGGCACCTAAACAATAGCACTGTAACAAAACATATCACTGTTATTCTGCAGGGATGCTGTAGTGCAAATGTGCGCAAAATATATAGTGCTGTTGCTCTGGGAATACCTTATAACTTCAGGTTTAATGGATTTGTTTTTCAGTTTGCAAAGATATCTTTATACTCAGAATATTTATATGATCTTATTTTTATGACTCGGTGGCATATGGAGATTTAAAACCGATTAATAAACCACTCATTTATAAGTGTTAATATGATTAAATTAATTAAAAAGGCCATGTATACAACTGCAAATAAAATATTTCAAACAGCTGATGGTTTTGGAGATACAAGATTATCATTCAACAGCACTTAAAAATTAATGTTAACATTAAGTATCTGTCAGCACATCATCCTTCCTTGTTCTAGAGCGTGGTGCTGTCTGTGTTGACACTAAATGGCGACTATAAATAGAAACTTTTGTTTGATGAGGACATTTGGCTCATCAAGGCTGATGTCTCTGCATAGTCAGTGAGAGGGGAAGCATAACAGTCTATATTGCCCTTTTTGATACAGATGTGAAATTGAACAAAAATCACCCTGGGGCTTTCTCAACTTCAATAACCTAGAGGATTTAAGTGTCCTCTAAACTGGGGCCAGACTCAGGTTAGAAGTAGTGTCTAAACACAGCTCTAATCAATTCATAAATCCTACATTGGGTAAGATGAGACAACAGCATGACTCTGAACTGATTCGACCACTGAGAGTCACTTTCATTTCAGTAGACCGCCAGGTGGTTGTGTAGTTATCAGTTCTGTCCAGCAGATGGCGCCTCTCCAAGTCTGACACTTCCCAGGAAGGTGGTGTGGTTGGTCATACTGATGAGTGTGTCCTCATAGACTATGCGTATAGAAATCCTCTGGCCAGCACGGAGCAAGCTCACCCCGGCCGTGTAGCAGGTGTTGAATTTGCGCTGGCCCGTCTCGATGCTGCAGGTGCATCGCAGGAACGGGTTGGAGTCTACCATCACCTCATAGCTAGCAATGTCTGTGAAGTTGAGGTAGTACACCTGGTGGAGAGGGGAGACAAACATTCATATAAGACTGAGAGGGATAGTCAAAACAAGCCCACATAATATTTAGGAGCTTATTTAAAGTTGAAACAGCTGGAATATCAGAGTGGCCAACAAGGGTGTGAGTTATAGAGTTTCACATTTAGCCACAGGGAGTGGGGAAAAAATGTCACTCAAACATGTAAGCACAGCGGCAAGTTTTTAATTTCAGCTACAAAACAACTTCCAGTTCTTTTGATTCTGAACTGTAAATTTTAAGAGTTACGTCAAGGACCGTACTCACTTCTACCTGACTATATATGAAGTAGACACCATCCAACAGCACCTCTAGCTCTCCAGAGCGAGAGTGCATTTTAAACACACGGTGATGGATGGACACCATCTTCCAGTTCCTAAGGATGCCTTCAGACAGATCTAAACATGTCACAACAAACAAACAAGAGGCAAATGGTCAACATTAACAGCTTTCAGCAGGGTTTAACTACAACCAGAGCTCAGTACTGACAGAAGATATAAACCTGCTAATGATACTTATTAGACTGACTGACTGACTGATGCAGGACAAACTGGGTCTGCTTGCATGTAAGGCTGTGCTGGTAGCAAAACATTACCCTCTAAATCATAAATTCTCTCTCTCTTCTGTGGATGACTGTGTTAACTTTCCATAAAGATGACCATATAAAGAAAAGTTTTTTAATGAAATGATATAATTCTGAGGTTTGGCAGGCATGTGCAGTCCCAGGTCTTTGACAAAGGGCAGTGAAACTTGTGTCAAAAAACAGAGCATAGACAGAAAACCCACCTTCTCTCACTTGGATGGTTGTTTCCTGCCCTTGCAAATGAACCACAGCAGGCTAAAAAACAGAGATCTCAGGTGACTAATCTGGACACACGGTTAAACAGGAGAACAGCTGTTTCATCAAGGATTTTGTGTGGGATAAAATTGAATTTCAAAGGGTGACATACTCTACCTGGAATTCCTTTGTTTTTGTCTTTTCGGGAACACCTGCAACAATAACAGAGACATGATAAAGTTCTGGCCTTCGACGTGGCTGAGGAAAAAACACAAGGATTAAAACAAAACACACTGACATACTGTGGTTTGAAAATAGATGACTGCTAACTTGCATAGTATTTGAAATCCTGAATCACAAACTCTCACTGTGCAGGCAATGAGTTCATCGATTTTGACAACTTGAGCCCCCCTTCTAGCGTGGGAACATGTCTACATGCAGGAAAATACTGTAATCTAAAATCAGATCTCTCAGCTCTCGGGTGTTCTCAGGTTCTCTAGCTCGAGTCTTGGCTAGCTCAGCGTCGTATCATATCATTTCTGTTTTAAGTTTTATACCTGCTGGACCTTGAACACCCGGAGGTCCCTGTGGCCCGGGGGGTCCAGGAGGTCCTGCAGGCCCCACAGTGTTGCTTCCTGGAATACCGGGGATTCCAGGGATGCCCGGTGGCCCCTGTGGGCCTGGGGGACCAGGAGGACCGGGGGGGCCCGGCACAGGCCTTTTCTTGCCTGTAAAGAGTGAAAGCAAAATGGTTGGCAAAGGCAGCCCCCAAAACAAACAAACAAAAAATAAACTGGTTATTCTCCTACAAGTCAAATCAATTTTATTTGGCCTGAAATCACAAAATCGCTGCCAAAATATTAGCAATCTGTACAGATGGTAAATTCTGATACGAAGAAGGCAAAAGATAAGAATAATGTCCGAATTCTTTCCTCGTTGACAAAATCAAATATTGAATGCTTGTCATTCATTTTAAAGTCAACACTTTTAATGGATTGCGGATGACTTCTCAAGGATACTTCCAAAAATCAGGCAGGAGGTAGTAAGTGATCTAACCAATCGCCGAGACAACTCAAATTAAGGCTGAATTTTGGATTACCTTTTTTCCTCTCTTTCCTTTTTTCTTTCCCAGTTGATTCTGCAAGAAACAAAAACAGTGTGATCGAGCTTGAAACGGTCTCCTCAACAATTATCATCTCAGATGACATCTCGAGTATCCGGTTCGTTGCGTGTAGGTGTCCTAAATAGTCTAAAATAACAGATTCAGGCACTGTGCACTGAACACTGGAGTGGAGGTATGTCAGTCTGTGGTGTCTTCTAGTGTAGTAATTTGTAAGTGTGGTTTCACCTCCTCTGTATGAACAAGTGCCTTAAGCAGTCACAGGCAGTGGAACTGGAGAAGATCATTAGAGAGATACTTTATCCTGCCAAAATCCTTTTCTTTGAATTAAGCCCAGATGGAAAACGCAGATGAAAGTGTGTGTACATGTATGCACGTGTTTTTGTGTGTCTCCCCTTTACAACCATGTCTTAAGTATGTGTGTGTGTGCGCATAGATGTGGGTAGGGCATCTATGTCAGTGCTCGAAAGGCAAAATTCACTTGTGTGTGTGTGTGTGTGTGTGCTCAGCTGAAGAATCCTTTTCAAAAAGCCGTCTCACTGCTCTTGTGTTTACCATGTCATTACAACTACAAAGGCCATTTAACCTTAAAACCTCACAGTTTGAGTCGCTCTCAAACACATGGCCAGTGTTTCTCCTTTGGCTAAATAACTGGATGCATCCACGTAGATTTCGCTTAATGAGCAGCCCTATCTGAAATCTGGTGCCCGTTAGGAGCGCTGAGAACGCACACATACACACGTGCAGACACAAGACGCACACAATCACACAAAGGCGCGCACATATAAGGCTGAGATTACAAAAGCCTTTGTCTGTGTGCTGAGAGCAGAGGAGAGACCTGGGAATGATTAGTGTTTAGAGGCTCGAGACTTTACTGATTTATGTAGAGTCTCAAAGGTGAGTTTTTTCTTCTAATTTAAACACAATCACTAAACTTCCCCCCCAAGTATTCAGTGTCACGCTACACACGGTGGAATGCCTTGTGATCATGCTGCACTTGTTGCACTCAGACGTGAAACTTCAAAGGCTTCGCTTTTTTATTTGCATAGCTCACATTCTAAACAAAAAAACCACAAAAGCAAATTCAGACACATCGGCCATATGGTTTTCTGTGGAGCTATTGATTACTGTAAATCAATTTGGTGGAATTAATGAGTCCATTAAAGTCTCAGATGACAGCTTCTTTCAGAAATGCCCACTTGGTTCTCCAGAATGGCTGCATGTTTTATGAAGTGATGAATTATTATTATTTTTTTATTTGCTGATGGTTCAGGCCTGGCCAAAGACACAGGGCACAGTTTAGATCTGATTAACTGACATATACAAAAGATATTTCAGGGACCCAAAATTATCCTGAGACGAGGAAAATCATTGCGGGCTGCGCTGTATATTTCAAATTGGTCAGACTCTCCCAAGCTCCTTGTCGTTCTTTTGTGCTACCCTAGTAATAATGAATCCCATTCCATTTAATCTCTTGCTCTATAAACTCGCAACATTATGTGGAGGAGCTGCTTTGTTAAATAGCCTAAGTACAGAGCAATAAAAAATCAATACCACAATAAAAGTGAGAAACCATGAACAGCCTGTTTTCAAAATTTAAGAGCTTAAGTCCACCATAAGCCTCTTATTTACACTGTTACTAAACTCCCCTCCAATTAAACAAGGGTTACAGAAGCCATTACTCAACAGCTGACCAGGCTGTTTCTGAGAACAGACTGATGCAGGTGCACCACACAGCAAAGCTTTGTATTTTTTCTTCTGATTAAACACAATGAATCTGGAGTTTGAACCTGAAAAAATATGAAAGAGGAGACAATAAAGCTACAGAGTCAAGGTGTGAGCTGCATGATGAACAATCTAGGAAACGGCCTGTACCTGTTTCTGGCTGTTTGCCTGGACTCCTTTTTGCTCGCTGAGTTATGCCCCTGTTATCCTCTGTGGCATGGAAGTCGCTATTTCTGTGCAGTAACATCTCCTGGTAAAACAAACAAAAGAAAATAACAATGAGTATGGAAAAGTCGTACAGCAGAGAATTCAAGAGGAAATGTGCACTTTGAACACAGAGACTCTCCTCAAAATATTAATACCAGCCAAGACCACCTTATAACAAAAGGAATGAGTGATATAAGATTTTGAGAGCGAAACCCACGTTACAAGTGGCCTTTCTATTCTTGGGGTATAATGTTTACACAGAGAGAACTTGGGGCATTTGAAAAGATGTGAGACACTGTCAGCCAGCACATTCATTTGTGGCCAAGTCATCGTCCGTCCCACTGGGACTGTAACCTATCCTGTAACCCAAGTCACTTTTGTCTGTGTTTCTGCCGTTTGAGACGGTCACCTGGACGCGACTGCTCTAAAATTCACCCCTTTATACAAAAGGAGGACATGAATTGTGGTTAATCTGAGAGCAATACCCATTCACATGGCACCCAGTCCTATTCAGAAGTAGCATGAATAAGATAAAAAAAAAATGGAGTTAAAGAAAAGGATCTGATTGAGCTGGTCTGAGCTCATCCCTAAAACCAGGAAAATCTATGCTACAGCGGTGGGGTGTTCCCATGGGCGAGTGAGTGCCGGGACAAACCACAAGCCTGTGTTCTTCTGCGACTGGTTCTGGTCGACCTACATTCACATGAACTCTGTAGGACCCGCTGACCTGACTGTAACATGCTCTAACCGGCTCTAACAAGAAAGCATTGCATGCTGAGGAGTTTAAAAATGCAGATCATCCAAAGCTGCTTTCTGTCAGAACACCCGGTTTGTGATCACATCTTTGGAGGCCTCCTGAGCCTGAGAGACACTGAAACACAACAAGACCACCCCAAAGCCTTCTTACTGTCACACTTAGGAGTGTCAGCGTAATTAATGGTAAGCGTATGGGGTGTAAAAGGCTCTGAACGGCCGAGGATGGACGACGAGACGACTTGAATTGTGCTGAACATCTGCTTGAGGTTTGTGTAACTGACATCTCTGCGTGCAGCACCTTAGTATGGATCAAAAGATAAATAATGATGTTTCACTTAGTCCTTCTGCTGTGAAGGAATCAGATAAGCTTACCGACAGACACTCTGCCCTCTCTTTTTCTATCTACCCCGGTTGGGTATGAGATAACATATTCCACGTTTCCATCGGTGACACTGTAGTAAAGACAGTTGTTAAACCCCACTGGCAAAAAGCGGAGTGAACTCCCAGTGCCTCTTTGTGTGGTTTTCAAGCAGAGCTGCTGAAAGACCATACGACGACAGACAAGAAAAGTTATGTTTCGAGTTTCTTCCATACTTCCTTTCAGATGTGGAACCCCCCTACCCCCGTGGTGAAGGATGAGCTGTATCATGTCAAACACACACCGTCGGCTGTATTGGAAAAGCTCAAAGTAGTTACAGTCTACATCTCTGACCAGCTGCAAGCCATGTCTGACCTTCTAAACACGGGAATTCCAGCCCGAGTACGAGCTGGAACAGTTTGGCGACACACAGACCTCCAGATGTTCCTGCGAGCAGCGACGTTTGCTATTCATTTGGTGCGCAGGTGTCTCCACATCTCCTCTCCAGCTGTTGGCATATCCTTTGAGAGGCTTTTACTTCTCAAAGGATTCTGGGTGTATGTTCGTGCATATGGCATTACACTTTCGTCTGTTCTGACAGCCAAACCTGTTTCAACAGCCAATTTCTGGCCCAAAATTAATCTCCAGAAGAACGACACAAAACCAACAAGCAATCTGCTAGGCTACTACCAACCTTGGTGCGACTGGTGTTTTAGATTAAGGCAACAAAGAGATTTTTTAAAAATTATTCCATTATTTGACTGCGAGAAATGGCGTGCACTGTTGTTTGCTTCATTTCACTTCATTACAACATTTACAGCATTCATACCCTTCAAAGGCATACAGAGTTACAGTAAACCAGGATGACAATGTGTGCTAAGTGCCAACTACTGAGGAAACCTTTCCTTCTCAGCACAAGGGGAAAATGCTATCAATTAGAAGGCTTTCAACTCTTCAAAGCGTGTGTGTGTGTGTGTGTGTGGGGGGGGGGCTCTGAGGACGTGATTCCCTGTTGCTCTGTGAGGACTAAAATTCAGTCGCCTTAGGGATGTGTAATTTTCTGATTGCAAGACTTTTTGCCCTCGACACTTACTATTACAACAATTTTTTAAAACCCATTTCTGCACCTGTACTACTGAAAATCCCTGGCATTCACACCAATTCAAGTTGATTATGGGAATACACCTTGTAAATTTTAAATTCTTCAAACTCTTGGACTTGATTGCTAAACTGTGGCTGAGAACGTGAGGTTACAAGGTTGAGAAGGGCTGCCAGATGCAGACTGGGTGCCCATCAGAGCTATTTCTAACTTTAATGGCTGGCATATGGTTTAGTAAGAATTGAAGGCTCATAATATACTTGTGATTAACACTCCTGGATAGAACAATGAGTGTGTCTGTTTGCTTCTTAAATATCACAGAATATCTCTACCACTGCCAATATGAGATGCTGCTCTCTGGAAGGCTGTGTGTTTCAAACCATAACTTAGGTCATTTAATAATAACACCCACAGGTTGTCATCTAAAAAAGCTGCGGAGATCAACCTAAGGGAAATGCCAGCAACCAATCACATTTCAGATTGTTGCAATACTTGCTGGTAAAGCGATGCCACGCCGTGGATGCCATGAGAATTTATTATTTTGGTAGATGTTTGTGATTCTGGACTTAATCTTTATTGGGTGTCTTCGCACCTGTCAGTCAAGGCAGTTTACTCTGGAAAAGTCTGCAGCCAAATTCAGCATCTCCAAAGTTTCGACCTCTGCCTTTGGCTTTTATGACACTTGTGTCTTTCCTGATCAATCCCTGAAATGTAGGCTCTATCGACACATATGATAATGCTGTTTTAGCTAATCATGCACTGGTCATAATTAAAGTAAATGCAGGTGACAGCCCCAGAGCATGTATGCTGTAGAACACTTTGTGTCCCATCACACTGACTTTTTAATAGCCATTAACTAGACTCCAGATGTTTCAGCATCTGTTCTTTGTGAGACTTAAAAGGCATACATCAGAGGAGAAAATTATTTCATATAATGGGTATAAGAAAAACGTTACAGTGAAGAATAAAAGTAGCTGAGCTAACACAACTTTGTGGATTGAATTTTATTAGGTGAATGATGGGCAGACTGACTGTTATTCAGTAATGCCCTGCATCCCACTCTCACTGTGGAGCAAAACACACCTGGGAGGGCTTTTTACTGTTGAGAACTGTGCAGAGCTGCTGGACAGCTGGGCTTTACTGCCTTGCTCAAGGGCATACCAACTGTGAATGGTGAGGGGAAGACTGTTCCACTTCCTAGACCCAGATCATAAACGGTCAGATCATCTGCTCTCATTAAGAAGCAGCTACACAGAAGTGTGAGATGTTTAAGAGAGATACTCACCAAAATGTTTCAATTTTTCCTGATGCTTTTATTGAATATTGTCCTGTTACAGTGAAACAAAATATCGAAGGATCTCTAAACCTTTCAAGTGTCAGTTTAGACTGCAAAACAATACTGATTCTGTTTCTGTACTTAGATCTGAGGACACATATCAAATGAAATGTTACTGACATCCTGGCAGATACAGACAGGATCAGATTATGATACACTGTCACATATTTGGGTTGATAGCATTTTCTCTTCTTATTTTTTCCCTTTGCCTCGCATCACCCCACAGTCCACATTACAAGCAGTCCCTCCTCTGTTCACACAGAGATGCTAAAAACTGATAAGGCATATAGTTTTACAGTTTATATAGCCTAGATCTGTACGTGGGCATTTTAAGAAAAAAAGAATCACTTTCTTCAGAACAGGTGTGTGTGTGTGTGTATAAATTCTGCCAATTCACATTGCGAAACCCCTGGCACCTTCTGCAGACAAAAAAAAAAAAAAGGGGGAAAACTGGTAGCTGAGGTAGAACAAGACAAAAACAGGATAACTTGAATGTCAAAGTGCACCAAAAACTAAAATCTATACACTTAATAATACTTAGGCTGCATGAAAACACCTTTGCTTCTTGATATGAGCACTAAGAGAAGATATTTACAGTTTAAAATAAAGCCTATTTGTGTCATTTCCCAGTTTCTTGCAATTAAAAGAAACCTTATTCTCCTTTAATATCATGATCTCAACTGAGTAGAAGTTCTCTTTCCATTCTATCTGGCCCAAGAAGCTGCTAAACAAAATAATTCCACCAAAAAAATGTCTGGATTTCCATTGGGCACACTGTTTACTAAGGGTGATTTATGTCTGACACTGACCAGCTCAGTTGAAAACTCTCTGACATGCTGTTTTTTTTTTTTTATGATGGGAAACCACACCACTTGCCTCTTTCAAAATAAAACTCAACCACAAAGTAGAATACGTCCATCTGAACAGAGCTTATTGTACACACTGGTATTATGTGACAAAGTCTATGAGCTTCATGTCTGTTCTGTCAGTTGTATGTGTGTTTGTTCCTGTACCTGATTGTTTGTGCTTTTGAAGGATGACTTTCCGTGTTGTTACGCTTGCCTGTATACCTGCACATCACATCACATTTCACTGATGCTGCTGATGTGCCTTTGATGCCACTCGTGTGAAAAATCCGACAAACAATTTTTTAGGTCCACAACAGAGGTTCTTCAAAGGTAATGCACGAAAAGCTAACAAGTGTGGCCTCTGTGTCCAAATGCCACATGCTCCTGTTTCTCCAACTATGTAAACTGTGGGATGTGTAATCAGAGTTGTTTAATGCAGACATCTGGCAAGGACAGCATCACAGCACTGTTAAATATTTACAGCTGGGCCACAGTCTTTCACCTCATGAAGCATCACCATCTGGCTTGAATACCGGGCCCATCTCGGTCGACTCCAACCAGGGAAACCACTGCTATCTAAAATAAGCTTAGCAAAGGACACACTGAGGGCTAAATGAATAGACTGAGCTTCCCACTTGCAAAAGGAAAATGTTACAGAGCAAACCAC